TAGCAGTGATCATTTTAATAGATAAACTTGATTACATCTTTATTCTGAACAAAATCTCAAATTGTCTACCCATTTTCTCTAGAATAAAGTCAATATTCTTAAAATGGCATAAAAAGCCCTCCATGACCTGATACCTAAGACTGTTCTGACTTCATCTCTAATTACTCTACTGCTTGCTCTCTCCAGTCTAGTGAGACTCACTAACCTTCCTGTTATTAATTGAACAGATGATTTGTTTACAACTTAGGACTTTGCATGCCCATTCCATATATAATTTAAGTCTAACAAGCTCATCTCCTTCAAGAATTTGCTTTAGTCACTTTTTTTTTCTTGGCGGGTGGGGGGTGTGTGGAGGGGCGGGCGGTTACCAGAGATTGAATTCAGGGGCACTCAACCACTGAGCCACATCCCCAGTCCTATTTTGTATTTTAATTAGAGACAGAGTCTCACCAAGTTGCCTTGCCCTTGCTGAGGCTGGCTTTGAACTTGAAATCCTCCTGCCTCAGCATCTCAAGCTGCTGGGATTACAGGCATGTACTACCTTGTCTACCTTAAGTCACTTTCTTATTGAAGCTAACCATTCTATTTATAAATCCACCCACCTCTTTCTTATACTCTCAATCTAATTCTTTTTACCCAGTGGTATATACTTCCCATTAATATACAATTTTTAAATTTTTATTGTGTATTTTACTCATTTAGAATGTCAGTTTTACAAAGGTATACAACTTAATTTTATTTACTTATTTGTGGTTCTGGAGATCAAACCCCTTGGCAAGCACTCTACCACTGAGCTACATCCCCAACCTAGCATAGACCTTAATTTTATACACTGATGTATTTCAAATGTTTGGAATAATGTCTAGTACATAATGGGTATTCAGATTATATATCTGTTAAGTAGATGAAATCTCTGAGAAAATATCCACAGAAGATATCAGTATATTCCATTTTTATCCCATTTTTTCTAACTTCATATTTGGCAATTTGGTTTCATAATAGATTGAAATTTAGGATTATACACTTATTTAGACTTATCCAATCTAAACAAAATATTTTAGCTATTCAAAATTGTACTATAAGTGCAATAAAAACGTGTTTAGATAGACGATACCATGTATTTTTAATTGTTTTGTTTTTAGTTTTTTGAGACAGAGTCTTGCTAAATACTGAGATTGGCCTCAAATTTGCAATCTCCTTCATCAACCTCCTGAGTACCTTGGATTACAGCTATACATGTATGTGCCACTGCATCCAGATTTTTTCATTTTTGGATACCAGGGATTGAACCCAGAGGCACTTAACTAATGAGCCACATCCTCAGCCCTTTGTTATATTTTATGTAGAGACAGGGTCTTACTGAGTTGCTTAGAACCTCACCAAATTGCTGAGGCTGGCTGTGAACTCACCATCCTCCTTCCTCAGCCTCCCAAATAGCTGAGATTACAAGCATGCACCACCACCAGCCCACTGCATCCAGCTTTGATGCCATGTTTTATGATTGTATAAATCATTAAGGCCCTAGATTCACTGGGGAAATTTAACTTGTCAGGTAGTTTATGGCTTTCCTCTATATGTGATGTTAAGTGCAAAAGAAGTTGTTAAATACATAGTAAAATTTTGCTTCTGTTGAAAGGCAAGACAGAAATAATCAGCTTACTGTAGTCAACAAATAAAAGGAAGATAAACTTTAAAAATCATACTAGAAAATTACTTAACTCTTTTAGAACATGAGTTATTTGGGGTTAGATTTTTTTTCTTTCTTTCTTTTGAGAGACTACTTTAGATCTTTGGAGTAATTTCTGCAGCTTTAAGTATTTAGTATGGCTTAGAATTGTGTCATTTCATTTTTGGATTTCTCGACTAGCCTCATTGATAATATCTTCAGGCCCTTTGTTAGTTTGAACCTGGACAGACCTGGTAGGTCTGATACCCACTTCAGGATTAGCACCAAGGCAGGGTCAAACAAAGTGCCTAGAGGCCAACCCAACCCAAGAATGGCGACTGATTATTGTCAAGACAAAGACCAGTTCAATATTAAGAGGCAATATCAATTATAAGACTAAAAGGGTGAGCCTGAAGTCAAAACTATGAAGCAAGACAAGATTAGGAGTCAAGGTACCAGACAAATGCCCCAAAACTAAGAGCAAAGTGTATAACACAATAGAGAATGTTATTTACCATAAGTAATTCAAGAAGGTTTGTCCCAGAAAAAGCAAAGTAAGAGAAATACATTCTTAGGGACTCCTCTATACTCTTACCACTGGAAGGTACAATGAACAATAAGTAGAATGTTGGGGGGTCCTCCAGCCATCCTAGCACGGCTCTCGGCAGCTATTAGACAAGACACATGTCTCAGTGACTGCTTCTCATTGAGAAGCAAGGAGAGTAAGGAGAAAAATCAGTCTTTAAAGAATCCAAAATATTACAAAGAACTTAAAAATAAATATGATTTCCTTTAGTCTTCTCTGAAAGAAATAAGTTGTGAAGCCCTATTTGGGAGTTCGATGATAGAGGCTCAACATTACCCTTCTGTACTGTGCCATAGAATAGTCAAAGGCATATTTACTGTTTCCATGAAATTTATGGTTTAACTATAAAGATATGTCTCCAAGGAAAGTGAAGGTCACCTGCTAATCTTCTAAGTTTTAGCACTTCAGAGTTTCTTGATTTTCACACATATGTTTTTATTTTCTCCAAAACTGTTTCCAGTTTCACCAGTGAAGGAAATCTACTGGGCTCAGTAACATGTATGTAAGATTAATATTACATTACTAGTTTAAAGTACATCTCTTGAACTTGAAAACTCCCACATAATAATGTACATATTTGACAAATATCTATTGAACATCTATGATGTGCCAAGTGCTGCTGTGAGTATTAGAGAAAATGAAGTAGAAAAGGTGTTTTTGTCCTTGTGGTACTTACACTTGAGTATCATGAGTTTGTATACCCTCTCTTCCTACTAGGAGAAAGCTTATTATTTTTAATCTTTTATTTGCAGTAAGTTTCTTAAACGTACTTGTCCCTCGAAGATTGTTGATTTTAAAACAAAACAAAACAAACAAACAAAAAATCTCTTCCATTTTCCTTAATCAGAATCTTAGGGAACAGATTGGGAAATCTGTTTCAACAAGCTCTCCGGGTGCTTTAGATGCATTTGAGACTACTGTCCTATTAATAGCTTACTACCTGAGGAATTGCAGTTTTCTCTTGTCTACATCTATAGCTCCCCTTTTGGTTATCATGACTACCCTTTATCAAACTTCTCATCTTTGGAGAAAATGAAAGCTCCCCTAAATGGCTTCCAGCCAATTCACCTAAAATAGACTACAAAGCAACCTTTTTATAAAATACCATTTATTTTAAACTAAAATTGTTATCAGTATGGAACAGATGTTAACCATGTCCTGCTTTTGAGTAGAAAAGGTTCAAACATTAATTATTATTTATGATCCATAGAACCAAAAGATTCATTTTAACATTAGAGTTGAGATGTCAGAGACATGGGAATTTTTCTCATCAAAAGCAAGATACTGATTCTTGTAAATCTATTGTATACAATATAAACAATATTTGCTAAAGTAGTTCTTTGTGAGTTGATGACTGTCAGTATAGTTGATATTTAATACTAAACAATATGCAATGCCAAAAACTACAATAAGGTTAGTATTTGTGAAATAATTATCACAGGATTTTTATGTGCTTAAACTCTATTCTAAGTATTATACACATATTTGGATGACTTGATCTTTAAAACTTGTCTATGAATTGTGATTTGGTTACCATGCCCATTTTACAGATGAAAAACTGAGACATTGAGAATATAAATAGTCTGTTTAGATTTATATGGCTGATAAACTGTAATCAGGATTAGAATCTTAGTGCCAAAATCTGTACTCTAATTAATCAATAGACTAACCTGTTCCTCCTTCGTTTTTATAATATGTTTTTAGGAACCTCAGACCAAAGAAGTTTACATAGTCCTTTCTAGGAAACAAGAATGTTGATTACAACTTCCTTGTCCCCACTATTCTTTCTTATTTTCACTTGATTCATGTTCTAAAATGACCATAACAATGTTGATGAACAAGATCATCTAGTGGCTAGTGAATCAAGCATAAGACTAACTTGATTCTGAATTTCGGCTGTACCATTTGCTCGCTTTAAGGCCTTGAGCAAGTGACCTCTTCAAGTCCTAGTTTCTTCACCTTCCAAATGAAGGTTATAATAGGACCTACATCATACAATGTTGAAAGAACAAGTAAGATGGCCCATTTAAGATACTCAGAATGTATTCAATAAATATTATAAGTGTAATAAATAGCAGCATCAATAAACTATGAGCCAAATGATGTCTTGATTCTTATATTAGCAATAAACATGGTTCATTTTTCTTTTAATGAAAAATATCACAGCAACAAAAACAACAAACAAAACTATAAGCCATTAAACCAGTCTTTTGTAGGGAAAACCAGAAAGGCCATTTGATTCATTCATTCATATGTCATTAGTCATCTCCTCTGTTTCAAAATGCATGTGTTTTAGCATCTTGAGACACCTTGCATAACATAATCACTGTGACTCCAAGAGGTCAAGTGGGCATGCAGTTAATGTTGCTCTTGAAAAGCTCAATAATTCATTTTATAAATTTCAGTTCAAAGCCTATGTTGAGGTTAAGAAAAATTGACATTCGGTCTGTGAACTTAATGTCAAGCTCAGAAAAACTCTGGGCTGCACATGTTTAGTGATTAAGCAGACACAGACAATAAAGACGTTGCCAAATTGTAAAACAAGACTTGGAAATCACAGAAATTGTTGCTAGTTATTGATTATGGTGACCATTCAGTTCTTATTGAGCCACCCAAAAGAATCATTCATTTTCCAGCAGAGAGCCTGCTCATTTGCAAGATAAAAGAGAGACATTTCTGCACATGCCCATAATGTTCTTCACCACTGGGGGCAGCTTTACATAAGACTGCATTCACTGAAACCAAAGCAACAGTCCGAGCAGCTTTCAGAATGACAGTCTGCAGAAGTGAGCTGAGCGTGTGCGCTGTACGGGGCTCTCCTGCCTTGTGGGCTCCTTCGTAGCTCTGTGGCTGAACTGGGTGCTCACCACGGGAACTGCTGGGCTATGGAATACAGATGTGGCAGCTCAGGTAGCCCCACGTTGCCTGGAGGAATACATCAAGCTTTCTGATAAGAAGAAATTGTAGAAGCCAGTTCTGTAACCCCCCCCCCCCCAAGAAAAAAAAAAAAAAACTGTAAAGATGCAAAAACGTAATATCCATGAAGATCCTATTACCTAGGAAGATTTTGATGTTTTGCTGTGAATGCGGTGTTGGGATTTATTTGTTCTTGGAGTGTTCTGCGTGGCTGGCAAAGAATTATGTTCCAAAATCGGTCCATCTCCCAAGGGGTCCAATTTTTCTTCCTGGGTGTCAGCGAGCCCTGACTCACTACAGTGCAGCTGACAGGGGCTGTCATGCAAGTGGCCCCCTAAGCCAAAGCAAAGGACCTAAGGACGACCTTTGAACAATACAAAGGATGGGTATGTTTTGACATTTTTCTTCTTTCCTTCTTTTAAAAAAAATCCTCTAGTATATGTAATAATTCTGTCTTAATTATGTTAGAGATTACCTTGTTCTGCTCTAAGACTAAAGATTCAATTGCTTAGTGGACACATTTCTTGCTTAACTATTTAAAACAAAAAACACAATCTCTTTCAATTGCAAAGAGATGATATTTAATGTTAAATGTTGTTATCTAGATTTGAATTTCTGAAAATGAAAATAGATGCCTATTTTTGCTTGATTAAAAAAATGAATTCTTTTTTGGGGGGATAACTTTTCTAAGTTGTTTTTATTTCCAGGTTTCAATGTAATTAGGCTACTGAGCGGATCAGCTGTAGCACTGGTTATAGCCCCCACTGTCTTACTGACAATGCTTTCTTCTGCTGAACGAGGATGCCCTAAGGGCTGTAGGTGTGAAGGCAAAATGGTATATTGTGAATCTCAGAAATTACAGGAGATACCCTCAAGTATATCTGCTGGTTGCTTAGGTTTGTCCCTTCGATATAACAGCCTTCAAAAACTTAAGTATAATCAATTTAAAGGGCTTAACCAGCTCACCTGGCTATACCTTGACCATAACCATATCAGCAATATTGACGAGAATGCTTTTAATGGAATACGCAGACTCAAAGAGTTGATTCTGAGTTCCAACAGAATCTCCTATTTTCTTAACAATACCTTCAGACCTGTGACCAATTTACGGAACTTGGATCTGTCCTATAATCAGCTGCATTCTCTGGGATCTGAACAGTTTCGAGGCTTGCGGAAGCTGCTCAGTTTACACTTACGGTCTAACTCCCTGAGAACCATTCCTGTGCGAATATTCCAAGACTGCCGCAACCTGGAACTTTTGGACCTGGGATATAACAGGATCCGAAGTTTAGCCAGAAATGTCTTTGCTGGCATGATCAGACTCAAAGAACTTCACCTGGAGCACAATCAATTTTCCAAGCTCAACCTGGCCCTTTTCCCAAGGTTGGTGAGCCTTCAGAACCTTTATTTGCAGTGGAATAAAATCAGTGTCATAGGACAGACCATGTCCTGGACCTGGAGCTCATTACAAAGGCTTGATCTGTCAGGCAATGAGATCGAAGCTTTCAGTGGACCTAGTGTTTTCCAGTGTGTCCCAAATCTGCAGCGCCTCAACCTGGATTCCAACAAGCTCACATTTATTGGTCAAGAGATTTTGGATTCTTGGATATCACTCAATGACATCAGTCTTGCCGGGAATATATGGGAATGCAGCAGAAATATTTGTTCCCTGGTAAACTGGCTGAAAAGTTTTAAAGGTCTGAGGGAGAATACAATAATCTGTGCCAGTCCCAAAGAGCTGCAAGGAGTAAACGTGATCGATGCAGTGAAGAACTACAGCATCTGTGGCAAAAGCACCACGGAGAGGTTTGATCTGGCCAGGGCTCTCCCCAAACCAACGTTTAAGCCCAAGCTCCCCAGACCAAAGCATGAGAGCAAGCCCCCTCTGCCCCCCACGGTGGGAGCGACAGAGCCAGGCCCAGAGACCGATGCTGACACGGAGCACATCTCTTTCCATAAAATCATCGCAGGGAGCGTGGCCCTTTTCCTGTCCGTGCTCGTCATCCTGCTCGTTATCTACGTGTCATGGAAGCGGTACCCTGCAAGCATGAAACAGCTGCAGCAGCGCTCCCTCATGCGAAGGCACAGGAAAAAGAAAAGGCAGTCACTAAAGCAAATGACTCCCAGCACCCAGGAATTTTATGTAGATTATAAACCCACCAACACGGAAACCAGCGAGATGCTGCTGAACGGGACAGGACCCTGCACCTATAACAAATCAGGCTCCAGGGAGTGTGAGGTATGAACCATTGTGATAAAAAAACGCTCTTAAAAGCTGGGAAATAAGTGGTGCTTTATTGAACTCCGGTGACTATAAAGGCAACACGGTACCCCCCCCCCTCCCCTCCCTTCCCCTCTCCCTCTCAGTGTGCTGGCAAGGTCCTTCCCTGTCCTGAGTGCATTCATAATACTGGTCATTTTCCTCTCATACATAATCAACCCATTGAAATTTAAATACCACAATCAATGTGAAGCTTGAACTCTGGTTTAATATAATGCCTATTGTATAAGACCCTTTATTGATTCCATTAACGTTGCACTTGTTTTCAGGAAAAAAAAAGAAAACTTCTTTCATAAGTAATCTCCCACATCTGATGTATTCTCCTTCTGGGAGGATCAAATCTGTAGCTCTAGAAGGTTTGCAGTTTGTTGGCAAATCAAAGAAAAAGATGAATAATCTCAGGCACTCAGAGCCTGAACCGATTCTAGGAGATGACTTGATTATAGAAACATTTTAGAGACAGACAGAGCCATTAAAATAATTCCTGCCTTAAAAAGAAAATTGCAGGAAACTATCAAAAGATGGTGCTGGGTTAAAGCAGCACCATGAACAGTTTCCAGAGATATCTAAGTTACAATAAGGCAAGCACAAGGGAGAAGTGTTGAAGGGTTAAAATACTGCAAGTAGTCACTGCAAAATGTGAGAAGATGATTAAAACACAAAGTTATAGACTTTAGGGCTTATCTCTGAAACCCATCCCTGTAAAAGCAGACAAGAGGTTTCACTGTAAGTTTCTTCTACAGACATGTGTATTTACTAAATAAGTTGATTAAATAGCCAAAAAATTAAATAGGCATATTTGAGGATATAGATTTCTTCGTGGCTTCTCACATGAGGGAGTTTTCAGAGATAAGATTTGCAAATGGGAAGCAGTCTTGCTATGTGCTTGTGGCTGGGACCTCACCAGAATTTCTCTCCAGCTTTTTCAAAGACCCCAATGTAATTAATGGAATCATTAGCTCCTTGCTGTTCTTCTGTTCAGGATTTGTCAGAGTGTCCTGTATTGTTTCAAGATGTGTCCTGCACACACCAGTTCTCCCTAATGACTGACACTTCATTCAGATGTGTAAAAGAGAACATATTCCAAAAGACATGCTTTCTACCAACAGCCTCATTAAAAATGAGGACTATGATAACACCTTAATAAATGTATAAAATAAATTTTCAGGGGGAAAAGACCAACACTATGATATTTCTCTTTTGCTTTGCTGTTGTTGACATTATTGTGTCCCTGTGTTCATCTGTATTGTAAACTCATCCATCAGTACAATTCTGTATAGACCCTGTTGGCAATCTGCAAGCTACATGCATGTTTTTATGTCGTTGGTGAAAGTTTATTGACTGCAGCACAAATATCATAGCCTCTGTATTTAAGTAACATGAACTACAGTCCATTGAGATTTTAGAAAAAAAATATCTTTAGCCTATATTCTCTTTTGTCTTCCAAAATGAACAGTTTTATTATAGGAGCAAAAATTAGGAATTACTACATTGAGGCTGTTTCATTTAATTTGACTCACCAAGCCTTACATATTTAACCATGTCCCTGTTCTTTCAAAACAGAATTGCTGCATCAAAAAAGAAAAAAGTGAATGGCTATTTTTACCAACATTTTTATATAGTTTGGTGGTTTTTTCATAGGATGAGAGGAAAGATCTGGGCAAGTCACCATGAAATATATTTGCAAGGAAGAAAAATTATTAAAATCATGCTTTTATAAGCAATAAAGAAAAAAATGCCAAAATAGATTTCTCTAAGTTCTTTGAGTTTGGCTAAACCTTAAAATAAATACCAGTTCAGAAAAGCATCTTAGTCACAATGTTTACCCATAAATAATTGTTGAGTATATAATAATGACAAATAGTCATATATTCCCAATTGATTAATAATGCAGATACTTCCTTACAGTAATATGAACTGGATGACTGATCTTACTGTGATGTTTTTCACTAAAGTTGTAATTTTACATTTTTTATGAAGTGTCAGTAAATACATATTCCATCTGAAAAAGAAATTTTCTTTGGTCAGCCTCATTTTTATCTGTACTAAAGTTGATTGTATTAATTAAATGCAGTGTTAAAGTGGAAAAAAGCCCATTTTTATTCTTTGACTTGAACTTTCCCTCATTTGTGATGGATACCAAATATATTTAGGCAAGGTATAGTTATATTTTTTTAATTCTTTCAAATTATTGATTCTGTGGTGCTACTAGTATATACAAAATGTTTGCTGTATTGAAAAGTATTTCTAAATTTTAAAGCCACTTGGTATGTAAATTGTGATTTAACATTAAATGAATGACCAACATTTTGAAGGCTGGTCATTTTTTAATGCCTAACTTTACTTATAAATATACTAGATAAGAAAACAGAATTTCTTTGAAGGTAAAACATGGTTTTATTTGGAACATGAAATTACAAGAAAAAGTTCTTTCTCACTCCCTTCCCCAACTCAGAAATGAAGCTTCTCTAATTCTCAGTATCTGCCAAGAACAAATATAAAAATCTAGTAGGCTAGACAATTATTACTTCACTATTGTTAAATTTAACAAAACTGGATGGCAAATATTATCCTGATTAGAAGTTGTTGCCCTCACCTGTACTCCATGGCACTTTCTGTACTACATGGCATAAATCTATTTTCATAAGTATTTGAAACTCACTGCCTGTTAGAGAAATATAATTGGTATTCATTTTTTCTAGTGCAAATTTACATGAAATATCTGATCTCAGTCAGGTGACAACAGTGAAACAACCTAACCTGTTGAACTCTGTAACAGAGATGGATCAATGCAGAGTAGATTCAAAACAGAAAGAAAATGGAGTTTAGTGTCTTTGAACAGCATGTGGGTTTTTTCCATTTTTATTAGCCTCAGTATGCACAGTGGTACTGCAGCGTGGAGGAAATAGTCCCAGTGCTACAGTATTCTAAGCAATACCAATGCAAGATATATTCATTTTCAATGAGTTTGTATTTTCCAAGGATGTTAATATTACATCTTTTCAAAGAATTTAAACTATTTTTTACTTGATTTGGTGAGTCAACTACCTAAATAGACACAGGCAATAAACCGTATTTCTGTGGAGTAGCAATGACCTCTAGTGGCTGATTAGAATAACCACAGCCATTCAAACACATTTTAGCTTTTAATTCTGAATCTCTTTGTAAACGTTGTTTACAACGTGTACTTTTGATCTGTTCATCAGATTTGAATTTCACTTAGTTCATTCTCCTGGGAAATACAGCTATTGTGTAATTTTTTATATATTACTTAGTGACATTTTTAGTAATGCTAGGAAGTAGGCCATAAAACAGGTTCTGAGGGACTAGAAGTAGGTGCCAAAGATGTAAAGCAAATAGTAATACAATAAAAATCGATAAGAAATATTTTAAAGTGTTTATATACATCGAAATTGGTCAAATAGTCTGATATTTTAATTAAGTGTGTTAATCCATTGGCAGGACATTGAAACACATATTGTAATTAAGGTTGGGGAAAATAAATTTCAGTATTTAATATTAAAAGAATCAGCATCAGTTACTTACTGATCAGAAGATATAAGAGCTATCAAGGGAGAGGGGCCTCCCCTTTTTTTTGCTTTAGAACTCTCCAATTTGCTGACCCGTGCCAGTGACCCGTGCTTTGCCCCCCGTGCTTTCTTCCTCCCTCCCCCTTTGCAGCCAGCTGAACACTGGTTCTATTAGGCTCTTTGACAATGATGTTACAGTCTAAGAGGTGATGATTCATGGATAATGAAATTATGCTCTCCTTCTGGGGAAGGATAATGCAGAGTCAGATTCATGAATTTGGCAAGGGTTTTTAGGATGCTGTAGGTGCACGGAATATCTTCCCTTCCTTTGACATTTACCAAGATGAGAACTCAAATAGTTTATTCACAGTGAGGATTAGACTAGCATCAGAAACAAGCATTAGGCCATGAAGCTTAAGACAAAATAAGTTCCAGATGTGACAAGTGAAAATTGAGCCATGAGAAATAAAAAATTCAGAAACTGTGTGGGTTCTTTTATCCCCTTTCTCCCTGGGTTCTCATTAGAAACTAGATCTGAAGCAAAACCATGGAGCTTCCTATTCTTGTGATCTCTTTGCTACCTACATTAAAAATCAGAGGCAGATGGGACAGACTATGAGAATGAAAAATAATATCAGTAAATTCGAATGACAAACGTTACAAGAGCAATGGAATGGATGGACCTTAAATAGTGTTTATTAAATAACTGTTGAAAATTAACTCTAAAAATACACAGGTGAAAGTGTTTTCCCAATCATAAGAGTCTATGTAATTTTTCCAGCTGCCAAAACCATTGGTAATTTTGGATAGTTGATAAAATACAATACAGATATTGCAGAAAAAATATAAATAAAAAGTAATTCTATTTCATTGAGGAAGATAATCATGGTCATGTCTTGTAGAAGAATATGGACCTCAGAAATTAAGAGCTAAATTCAAACTTCTCAGACACTTGTTAAATATCTTTTTGACAATGAGTCAAAAAGAAATCAATAACTCTGTTACAGAAGCCCATATCTATGAATCTAGAACTTATCTTTCATCTTTGGTTTCCATATGGACACAGATTCTTCCATCTTATGTTATCTGAGTGTTGCATTTTATCAATAGTGATCCCAGTGAATGGTAGATATAAGGACATAAACCAGAGAACAAAGAAAAAAACTTCTCAAACTAAACCCATATACCAGTGGTGTCCCCAAATCTCGTCAATATAGCCAGGGCTTTCCATAGAGCAGAAGTTTGTCTGTCCCCTCTCTAGTATCACTATTTTCAGTTCTTGTTGACATTTACTATATAATTGTTTACATGACAATATGACATCATTATTAAACAGAAAGGTAATTGCTCCCATACATGTTGTATGGGATTAGCACACATTTCAGATATCAATCACATGATGTTACCTCTCTGTTGTTTTTCTCCCAC